TGCACTTTAGCTGTATCATTTGACAGTATGTACAGTTAATAGAATAAATAAGCTGTAAAACATCTCAAATTTGATCAGTACATTTATTTTGTGTTCAAGCAGTAAAACGTGATCCACAGTTCAGTACACATTAACAGCTGGTGTCCAACTGTGTGGAAAGGTTTCAAAGAGAAATGTGTCATCAGTTGTGTAAAAAAAAAAAAAAAGTTTGTGAACATGTGCATGCCTCCAAAAATTTACTAAAGTATGTTTGTGCTTCTATAAATGTATGGGAACATCAAGACAAAATACACACAAATAAGAAAAGTCCAGGAGCCGTGGGGCTGTCCCAGTCCATCCCTGGATCTTTCCACAGGCAGAGGTCACCACAGTTGAAATTAAATCACACTTATCTCTCTACTGATTGGTTAAACCCTGGATTACCCCGCAGCACCCACAACTTCCAATTTATCAAGCTGTGATTTTTTACATCTGGCTTCTCTGACTGTGTAGAAATATTAAGATAGGCTAACTACAGCTCAGTCACGCTGCTCTGTGAAAAACAAATCCATCAACTAATCATGACCTCTGAAAAACCACTGAGCAACATCATCTAATGCTGGCATGAAATGAGTGATCTGATTCACCAGCAATCCGCACAGGCCTTTCTGCAAATGCTCAAACCACAGCCTGCACACACACACACACACGCGCGCACACACACACACACACACACACACACACACACACACACATCTCTCTAAATGAAGCCTTTTTCCCCATTAACGTCACTGTCTCATACCATCAAGAAAAAAATCAGACTGACAGATTTACTGACGGACAGAGCTGGAGTCGGGAAATTACAAACAGCAATGGGAACCAGTTTAACACTGACAGACAGCGGTAGGAAAAGCTTTGGTGTATGCATACACAAACACAACTACACAAGTGAACTTTAGGAACAACACTTGTATTCATCAGTCATCTCAGGCTCTTCCACTCCCTAATACTCCTCTATGGCTTCGCCAGGGCTGCGTCTACATCCTGGGCGGTGTACATAAAGGCGTGAGAGAGGACAGCCGCAAATCTACACACATACAGGCCAAGTCAGATGGAATTCACTGGCAATATCTTCCTATTTCTTGGAAGGCTACAGCTCTCCCACTCCACTTCCTTCTATATCTGTACCAACCCAACCCTTTTGTCTCTCATGGCACCTAGTCGACCTCTAGAACGCGAGCTACGCTCTGTTCGCTGCAACAAGCCCCGTGGGAACTGACTTGAGGATTCTGGCTGCGTAATGACTTCGTTCTACTGATGAATAGAGGGGATCACGGCTGGCCTGAGTGAATAGTGACTAGGGGGAATTGAGGTGTGGATAGACGGGGTGTATGTGTGTTTGTGTTCCAAACGGGAAAAGAAGGTGATTAAAATACCACAAACAGGAACGAGTTTATCCAGGCATGACAACATTTTTTTTTCTTTGTCATGTAATAAAGAGAAACAACTCCAATCTTATTCAAGCAGTTTAATGTCACTGTCCTTATTGTCAAGTAGCATTGTTTATGCACAAACACTCGTGGGCGGTGTACACTGGTACCCACACTACTCAAAACACAAGCCGAGTGTGTATGCATCCACACACACACACACACACACAGGTCCTTGAGAAGCAACACACACTAAACATGATAGCATGCTACAGATGACAGATCATGAGGTTAAAACTTAAAGCTACTGTATAACTATTACAGAGACAGGAGGAGGAGGAGGAATGCACTGGCAGTCTGCACGGGTGTCTATGGGTAAAAGATGGAAATGTGTCTGCTCCAAATTCTCTTTTTTCGTGTGTGTGTCTGTTTCAGAGCCCCACAGTAGCAAGTATCTAGTAGGCACCAAGATGTCTGACATCAACACCCTAAGACTCTCCCAACTCCAATTAACCTTCACTTGTTCGACCTACTTCCAACATAAAAATAGCATACTACTCCCTGTTCAACCCAGTGTTATATTTGGCAGTGTTTAACATACAGTTAAAAGCACTTAAAAGTCAGAGTTGTGACCTGTCAGCTGATGAGGCTAAGGGCTAAGAGGTCTAAACCTGAAACCGTTAGTCATTTAATCTATATCTTGATCAACAGAAAATTATTCTGAAACTATTCTGATAATCAGCAAATTGATTAACGTAGTAATTCAAGCAAAAAGGTTACATATTCTCTAGCTGAATGTACTACTTTTCATGTCTTATGTGGTAGTAAACTGGATTGGTACTGATCAAAGTAAGATATTTAGCAACATACTGTAAGCTTGAACACAGGAAACTTGTCATATAAATGTGCATTTTTACACCTTTTTATGACATTTAATTGATCAAACAACTAATTGATTAATCAAGACAACTATCAGCTGTTTATTTGTTACAAAGATAATTAATTTGGGATCCCAAATCTGAGAGTTATGTGAATGTTTTTCACCCCTGTGAACACATGCAGAGCTTCAAGCTGTCTAGCTTTTGCATCAGATGCAACATTCAGTAACATCGTTTTCTGTTCATTTTTGCACAGTGACATCTGATTTATTTGGAATGTGTCACTAAATGTCTGATATCCTTTTCAAAAAAAAAAAATCCTCTTCTCATATTCACACACAGAGCGAGAGATTGTTGCTATGGATGCACCTGAGGACTGTGCACACTGCCTCGACTTTACTGTCATTGGTGTCTGAGTTAAACTGCTCTGTCCTAGTCCCATTGCTCTTAATGTCATTAATACATCTGTGGCGGCAGCAGCAGCAATCCATTAGTCAGTCACAGCTGAGGTGCCTCTAGATGGCTGGCCTACTGCAAAAACCCAAACTAGACTTTGCTTAAACTCTTGACTCCAACAGTCATGTGTTCACCTCTGAGGCTGGAGAGACCGACCTCCGACCTTTGCCCCGGTGCTTGGTACTTCAGCCCAAATGGATTAACAGTGGCATGAGACAGTCAAAACACACAGAGAGGAAATCCCATCTGCCTCCCAGGTCCTTGTTCAAACTTCTCCTGATGATTATCACAAACCGAGACACTACATGCTACGCCCTTCCCTCAATGTCAGCTCCCCCAGTATATAGGGGCCTCTGTTCTTGCCTCCCACCAGTAATATGATCCATCTCTGAGCAAAGGTTAGTGAAGGAATCCTGACAATGGATTGGCCAGTCACATTTTCAAAATCTCAATTTTTTTTTTCCTCAGAAAGAAGAATTTCTCAAATTAAATTAGGTCTTAAATTGTAAAGAATACTGCTGAATACTTTGAACCAATGACTAAGTACATACTACTGCAGCTGTAAAATACCATAACACATCTGTAGATGCTCTGTTTCATGAAGTCATATGTGTTACACTTTCACTCAAATGCCCATTCAAAACATCTCCACCAGCTGTTCTGTGCCATGACATATTCAAATCCTATAGTACTCCCTTTCTGGAGTAATGCTTGAGAGCAATTCTGAAACCTGTTTTAAAGACCGGTGTTTGTGCACAAAGAGTCAGAATCAAGCTCATGTGTCTATACTATAATGACTCTAGAGCCGGTGCTTGTGTACACTCACTATTGGCCTCGGGGTTATGTGGGAGCTGGCATAGCCTACATTACCTACTGCATTCCTGTCTACTCTCTCACACCTTGTCTTCAGTGAGTGAAGGACTTAATGGGAACAAACCTTTAAAAAGGAACTCTCCACCTCAAACCTTCAACAGTTATGCCACCTGATAACACGTGAGATTAGCTGAATGTGGGGTCTATCACGTCAGCAGGTAGCCCCTAAACAGCTTGATGGACTATGTGTGTGTGTGTGTGTGTGTGTGTGTGTGCTCATCATATATCACATTCATTTGTGTCTGGGAACTGTCTGCTCAGCTCATCACATCCCTGCAACCAGTTCTGTATCTGTATGACTCTCCATGTGAGAACGTGAGTCACAGTCAGACCCAAGGCAGGGTGGATAGATAGGAAGGACGACGGTAAAAAAGGAAACAAAAGGCACATGAGTCAGAATTTAACTCCTCCAGTGGAATCTGGGCTCATCTTCTGAATCCTACTTTGCAACATATTTCAGAGGCAAATTAGATAAATAAAGAAGCCGAGGCAGGGAATTAATCAGAAACATAATCCCTTAATAACAGTGTTTATAATCATTACCTCATAACAATCTATTAAATAGAAAGGAGTGGTGCTCAGTAAGGCTCTACTAGAGGCCTGTATCAGAGCAGACACAATGACTCACTGCAGTCTGAGTTAATGTATAATCCCTGTGTGTGATACAACAGCAGGTAGCTTTACAAAGGTTAGCAAAACAAACCACAAAACAAAAGTCAGCACAGGCCACAGCAAACGAAATTGATCTTCCACTTATCTTTGTGTTGACAAACTTTGTTGGCATGTATAAAACAGCAAGAATCAACGGAGGGGAAACGGGTTGTGAGCTCTCTTGTGATCCTCTGAGGATTTAACACAGATGGTCAGTGCGTTGAGAAGAAATCCATCATTTCTGACACAACTCAACACCCTTATTAATAGATCTCTGAATTCCAGACAAACAAAGCCATGTGCCAGAAGACACCAGTCACTCCTCACTGGTTCCTCCATGGGAAAAAGTGTGAAAGTCGCCTTGTACCTGATCTGCATCCTATCAACACCAATGACAGTTACTGTGACAGATCCAACAGAAAAGACACCTGCTTGATATGAATGTATTTACAGCCAGCCTTCTCAAATGAGTACCTGCTTACTTTTTAATAATATTTCTATCAGTCTGGTAAAGAAGTACGGCATACAAGTATAACAGTGGACCGTGTAAGAAGTACATGATGTCTGTGGGTCTGAATAAAAGGTTTGTGGTGACTCCTCTGGTTTTATTATAAAGCACCTCTATAGGGGTAGAAAGAACCGTTCTGAAGCGTTTCTGAACATTTGGAGATACACCTAGGTTCCCACACTTCATACTATCAAATAACATTAGTGATCAACTTTGCAAACTTACGGATTTTGATCTTCTTGGGGTCAAACTTGACGAGTTCACCCTGAAGAATTTGCAGCCGCACCTGAATCCTGCAAGATCTTCTGAACACCATCCCTGCCTCCATCTCGATGCCCAGGAAGATGTCGCTGGCATGTCGAGAAAGGTCGGAAAGCTGATGAATTATGTTAGTCAGTGTTTGACAGCTAACCTCGTCCAAAGACGAAAATAAAACTGGCTTTCGCAGTTTGCGTCTCCCGGTTTCTTCCCTGGCCGACAGCCTACTCACACGCCGCGGCTCAACACCCCTCAGAAGAAATGGCATGTTTATTTCATACCAGTAACTTCTGTGGGAACCGAAAAATATTCACGCAGAAAAAAGACTCACAGCTTTAAAAGAAACCCAAGGCGCATTGTCTTCCTATTGCTCGTAATATGTGCGAGGCAGCATAATCCTTTCAATCCCGCCATATTTTTGGTTTTCAAAGCGTGGGGACTTTGTGATCCCGTACACCGGAGACGTTGCCTCCCAAAGACTATTCAAATTCAACCAGACAGATTGCAGCAAGCTGGAGAGAAGGGGGAAAAACACAAGAAAAAGTAGGGAAAAGTACAAACAAAAACCCGGAAAATACTACAACCACCTGTAGCGACTGGAACCGGAGCCAGATAGAGAGCGGGGAGGGTTTACCTGCCTCCCAGTCGGCACAGCGGGCTGATGGAAAACCAGGACCGGATATCTCTTCCCAAACTGAACCCGGAGTTTGATCACCAACAAACTGACTTTATGAACCATTACATCTTAAAATAGTCATGTAATGTTTACCTTAATTTCACGGCAGTCCCTTAAAATAGGAGTAATAAAAGATACCTTAAGAGAACTTTTAATTTCCTTAATTCAATTTAAACAAACAATTGTAGTACCTTGCCAAATTGAGTACAATTAAAGGTAATAGGTTAGGGGTAGTTAATAGTCTTTGGCTGCATTTATTTCTGCATACATTAAATAGCCTTGTAACTTCACTGTAATCCAAACACAGAAACTGACTTCAGTTCTATAAACCCATAACTGAACCTCTTAAATTTTAATAATTAATTAATCTTGACTAAATGGACAAAAAAGAAGGACAAACTTTACCTGTTTATGTAGTGATATAGCTTTCTATCAATAACCTAGAATTAGTTTACAGTCAGCTTATTTTGCTAAATTGTGTTCTTCAGTTTAAGAAATTTGGATGATCAGCTAGTTAATGGACTTTGAGTGGATTTAATAGGTTTCCCCCCACACAAACACGCATTAAATAGCCTTGTAACTTCTCTGGACTCATGAGTGGATTCCAAAAAAGTACAATAGCCTACTAATTGGCTACTTTTTAAAGATAGCTATTTTGGGGGGTTTAACTCGGTTGAGAAATAAGCACCTCACATTACTTGTTTGGGTTTGCAGTGATTCCAATTTTGTTTTCAAGGTCAAGGTCAAAGTGTTTATTTGTCATATGCACAGTTAGGAAACGTGTTTCCCTGTACAATGAAATTCTTACTTTGCCATCCATATGAATGCCACAAAATACTAATGAAATATAAAGTAGATAAATAAGTAACACAAAATCTAAGGCACTTTAAGTAGCAAATGCAGCAATATAATAAAAATATATAAGAGCAGCATGTGCAGCAGTCAACAGTCAATGTGCAATTATGCATGTGCAAACTGAGAATGTAAACAGTACATCACGTATTTCCTGGTAATAAACTCCTCAGCTGTTTAGGAGTCTGATGGCAGAGGTAAAGAAAGAGTTTTTCAGTCTAGTGGTCCTGCATTTCATACTTCTGAACCTCCGGCCAGAGGGTAGGGAGGCAAACAGTCTGTGCTGGGGGTGGGTGGGATCTTTGAGGATGGAGGCAGCTTTCCTACACACCCTGCGGTAGTAAATGCTCTGCAGAGAGGGCAGTGGAGTCCTAGTGATCTTCTCCACAGTCTTTACCACTCTCTGCATGCACTTGCAGTCCATAGCAGTAGTGCTGCTGTACCAGACAGTGATGCAGCTGGTCAAGATGCTCTCAAAGATGCAGCTGTAGAAGTTGCTGAGGATCCCAGGCGACATGCCAAACCTCCTCAGCCTCCTCAGGAAGTACAGCTGCTGTTGAGCCTTCTTGACCAGCTGTGTGGTGTTATGTGTCCAAGTGAGGTCCTCACTGATGTGGACGCCCAGGTATTTGAAGCTGCTCACCC